AAGCCAGCAATGGAAAATACCCGTTCACTCGGCGTTGATGTTGCAGGAGTACATAATACTTTTTTGGCTAGTTTATATAACGTATATATCATGTTCTCTATTTCTCCAGAAGTCTAAAATATTTTCAAAGGATGCATGTTTGCTAAATAAAATATGGCATTCCTTTTCCAAACTATTTTGCATTGAGTCAATAGAAGAAGAATGTTTATTAGCTAAGTCCACAATATAATTAGTGTTAATGTTCGTTTGCTTTTGATGATTAATTTCATTATTTTTCATTTTTGTATTTTCCGCTATTTTAGCATATTTATTTACATGTTGCTTCAAAAATTCATAAGAATTTACATCTTGAGAATCTAGATATTCTTTTACAGTATCTAAGTTTTGAAATCGAGGATCTAATAAGGAAGTTAAAACAAGTAAATCTGTAATGGGAAATCTGTGATCAAAATTGTCGAGCATTCTACTTTTCATTAATTTTATTACTAATGAATTATTTTCATCGGAACACAAATGCATTTTTAATTCACTCCTAAATAAAAGTACTAAATTTAGCGTACATGTTTTATCACTAGATAAGATTTCGACTATCTTTTTAATTTTTTCAAGAAAACGAATCAATTCATCAATTGTTTGCCATTCCAATATTGATAATTTTAGATCTTCTTTTTCCAATCGTCCCGATAAAGCATTAATTGCATTTCTGTTGTAATTTACGCTCTCCAGCATAAGCAAAATACTATGCCATCACGTAGGTACGTCTAATTTAGGTGTTTTAACTTTAAGTTTATTTTGATTCCGTTCGTTAGATTGTAAATTAAATTCCTTGTTTTCCTAACAAGCCTAAGTCATTAAGATTAAACTCATCTAAATCTAAAAATAACGGATCATTATCTTCCATTTCTAAATACTCGGATGCATTATCAACTAATAGAAGAACTTTTTGCTGTACGATGTCTATTTCTTTCTCTAAGTCGCTGAACTTATACTTTAAAATTTTTACAATTTCTCACTTTTCCAATCAAGTCACTAACTATAATATTTTTCTTAACACCATCAACAATAACTAAGTTGTGAAGACCATGACCTGAACATAAATGATTTTCATTATTCGAAATTTTAGCAACCTTTTTCATGTTTGCACCGCTGTCGGTCACAATGAAATATTTTTTATTGCTGAGGGTAAACTCATCTTTAATAGTGTCTAAATGAAATACAATGTTCTCTGCAGTATGTTTTCCAACGACTAGTTTGTTGCCTAAAGTTATACTTTTAAGATTAAAATCGTTATCTATAAAATGAAGCGTAAAACATATATAATTTCTGTGACGATAGTTATCTGTCCACATGTCGAAAGTAAAGCAGTAGTCATTAATTGCACAATTTGTGTACTTATCCATTATATGCTCTTTCATAGAAACAAAAACGTCTTCTAAAGCAGTACGACTTAAAGTCATACGTGCTGGTAAGTCTGTCCCATCTTTAATCACATTATATTTTCTTAAAAAGTCTCGGAATCCTTCATTTTCTACGATGGTGAATGGTAATAAGTCTCTACATGCCATCAATACTAAATGTCTACCGAATAACCATTTTTTATCACTTTCTTTCCTGAATGGATTCTTCGGACGGATGGTAAAAAAGTTTGTTAACTTATGTTCAGTGACTTTTCTTCTATCTTCTCTGATGTTATGGGAATCTGCTAAGTGTCTTATGAGGTTTCCCGTACTGATCGTATTACTGTACGATTTAATGACAAAACTAAAATGTAAACAAAACAAATATTATATAAAACTTTTTTAATTAATTATATTTTAAAGAATATTTGTTAAGATCTATATTAATTTGTATGACAATTAATAGTAATTAATGAAAACCTGCAATAAGCTATTAATTATAAAAATCTATAAAAAATATTTACTTCTATGAAGAAACATAGAAATGCTACGATTCATATATCATAAATAAATAATTAATGTGATAAATTAGTCAAAAAATTGATGAAAAATTGTACGGTACTTAAAATGATAAATTCAACGATGAAAATCTATGAAAACGATTTTTATTGCAGTAATATAACTGATATAAGACAAACCTCGAAAACGGTTCTTCATTTTCTTCAGACTCTGACGTTTTTTGAGCTGTTTTTAAGCAAGACAGACAAAAAACCTTAGATTGCATAATTGCGACTTTCTTATCTCCATCTTTCAATATTAACGTTCCAAAATTCTGCCATGCAAAGCTTGTTTTTGTATTAGTATTGTACAACAAGGTAATCTCATAATCCTTTACTGGTTTGTCAAAAACGTTTTCTTTGTCCATTTTAAAAATAGTCCGATAATAATAAAGAACGACAGCCGCTAAAACATAAAAGCATTCTTTTCACGTGCCAATAAAAAAAACTTGACGAGATATATTAAAAACTTTCTTTTAACATTGATTTGCATACTTATAGTTACATAGTTACATCTTAAATGGTTATATTGAATCTTGAATCTCACACAAAGTAGCCGAAACGAACTAAAACGAATCGAAATAGGTAAGTATGTATATGCGCCGCGGCAGTTGCCATCGTTATCAAGTAAGGTTAGAAAATAAAATGAATATCGCCGGCACGATTCGCGCGCCGCGGCATGACTATCAAAATGTTCGGCGGCGGCGGCGTATCTAGTTCCACCGGCGGCGGCGGCGTGGCGTGGCGGCGCACAGCTCTACATGCGAGACATAGCGTCTGATCTAACGTCCTTCCATGCTTCTCCCTTCTTATCCTTTTCTTTCCCTAAACCTTCTCATCCACATTACCGGAACTGGACGTAACACTACCATCGCGTTAGATTCGCAGATAGGCTATATTCTCGAGGTGGATTTGGAGTACCCGCAACATCTTCATGACGCGCACACTGACCTACCATTCGGTCCGACGCGAGAGAAACCACCCGGCAAACGCGATGACAAGCTCCTCGCAACATTATGCGATAAACAGCGTTACGTCATACATTATCGCAACCTGCAGCAGTGTACTCGTTATGGCCTCCGTATCGCAAAGATTCACCGTATACTGCAATTCGC